TAAGTGGTGTGAGAGGCAAGATAACAACATGCAATCATTTAAAAATTGAATCGTATGAATACGAACATATAATTGGAGGCTTCCCTCAACGGCTACCTTTTTATTCAGCATCTCGTACGTTCCAAGAGCTGCTCCCAGCATGAGAGATGCAGTAAAGACAAAATTGACCAAATTCATGTTCCCATGATGTTTGTTTCTAATGGTTAAATGTTGTGTTTTAAAACAGCCAATTGTTCTCAATTATACATTGTTTAAAATATTGGCATGTTATTAACCCTATTAGCAAGAAAAATTCAATCATATATCTGTGATTTTGAAATTTCAAGGCAATTTTGGGTTTTCTTTTTTCACTTTTAACATCATATTCCTTTTTCCAATCGTCTCTGTCCTGGATTGAGAAACTTGGTAGTTTGCAAATATCATGCATAACCAAAGAATAATTATTTTTATTATGCCTATAGTTTAAAAATCTTAATTTTCAATTCAACACAATTCAGAGTCTTTGCAAATATCAGATAATTTAGGGTCTATGCAAAAAAAAAAAAAAAAAAGGAAAAGAACATGTTTCCAGATGGCAATTCCATTTCCATTAGTCCATGAACACATAACCTGGGCATGCTCATGGAGCAGAGAGCTCCAAGAAATTGTCCTATTTCCAAATCATACTCCATTCATTCGAATGGGAGCTCACTCAGCCTTTGACCATGGTATGAGAGCTTAGAAAGTGAAGTCAGCAGCACTGATCTGAAGGCTTATGCAATGTAGCTCTCGTACCATGTTCTGTGTGAGGCTGGACAACGATATATCTTCTCCACATCTCTCGATTTGCCTCTCTCACTGACTCATGTTGCCAAAGTTCCATGTCAAAGCCCTCAGCACCTCTCGTTGTGTGGCCGCAATGGCTTGCTCACTTTGTCAGGTGTTGTGAGTGAAGGTGAGCTATGTGTTGGGTTTCTGATTGAGGAGACTGAGTTGGACGTTGACCACAAGGCAAAGTGTGACATCTAGGCAGAGTTCTGCTGGGAAGGCAAGGTAAAGAGCTCAGTCTGGACGTGGACTTGTGTGTCTGGGAGCATGCGGCTGCAGTATCCACTCAGCAGGTGAGTATGCCTTGCCAGAGCTAGGGAGGTTATAAAGTCCTCAGCATCAGGGCTACAGCAAAAACCACTAGGGAGGTACTGTAGGTGAGAAGTCCAGATGGCCAGGGAGAGAACCATGGGGAACGCAGATCCTTCTTGAAAGGAAAAGCAGCCGTTAGCAAGGGCAGAGAAAAAGCAATCGAGGAAAAGGAAGCAGGAATAATTGGTTTCTTAGAAACCAAGGGTGAAAATAGTTTTAGGGAAAAGCAGGTTGTCTTAAATGCTCCAAAGAGATTGAGTAAGATGAGAGCTAACAAGGGGTGCTTGGGCTTGGGTGCAAGGAGATCCCTGGTGGTGTTTTCCAAAATGGGCTCAATGAAGAAAGGCGGTAGAGCCTGGCCACGGAGGGCGGGGGGGGGCATGGAGAGAGGGCCGAATTAGACCATACTTTTCTGGAGCTTAACCAGGAAAGGAAGGAGACATCGGCAAGCACAGAATTAAGGAAAGGATGTTTTATGGACAAGACATCTGTTGTGTTTATGGACTGTGAAGAAAGAGCCAGCAGAGAAAAGGCACCGTCAGCACAGAGGAGAGTGAGTGATGATGGAGCAGGAACGCACAGGCAGCAGAAGGGATGGGGTTTAGAGCACGAGAGAGAAGCCGTCCTGGAAAGGAGGAAAGGAGGAAAGGAGGGGGCAGCTGCAGACCCGGCATGAGGCTCAGAAACTGAGATTATTTCTAATTCATCTATTTACTCTCTGGATGACTCCATAGATCCATTCAAGAGATCCAACTACTGCTAAGTAACCACTTCCAGGCGTCTGCCGCTCTTCTTTGAAGTCAGTTGCCCAATTTGAGTGAATTATACAAACCTAATTTTAAACAAGCGCTTTTGTTTAAAGAAAGACATCTTTCTTTAAGCTTAAGAAACAAAATAATGACTAAAATAATTGAATTTATATTTCCTTGCTTTACCAAGTAAGGACATCATTAGCTGCCTTAGTGGTAATCATTTTCATCTAGTTAGTCTGTTAGTGATAATAAAAAGTAGTTAATTTTTTGGAAAACTGTTTTTGAAAGAAGTAGATCAGCATCAATTATGCTGAAACTTAAGCTATTTTCTTTGGCAGGCCTTTACAAAGATTTAGGTGGTAGACTTTGGCTTTCTAGAGGTATACTCATAATTGGCAGCTAGCTAATCCTGGAAGACCATCTTGAAAACCTAGAATACAAGAGTCTTATTGACTTTTTAAAGGAAAGAATATAAATCTATTTAATTTTTAAAATGTTTAGACTAATGTCATACTCTCTTGTTATAGGGTACAGACTACACTTCGGTGGATAAACCAATCAGTAGAATGAAAGATGATAGCTTGACATTACAAAACTCTCCTTGAAAAAGCAATCATGTTTGTTCTATCTACAGGTATGCCAGCCACTTTTGCCCTGCTACAAGCCCAACCTATAATACAAACATCCATAGCCAAATGCCAATTCCTCTTTCTTTACAACAGTATCAAAATTGTGCACTCTCCCTGCAATCAATCATGTGGTGTAAAATTTTTTCACAGTTATCATTAGAAGACTTAATTGTGAAGTGATTAAAAGTCAGAACCCATTTAAAGATTCAGAAGTCATGTTATCATTAGAATTTTCTAGGTTCTTGCCCTGCATTAAACAAAATTATAAGAAAACAAAATGTTTGTTCTATGCTAACACACCTCTTCAAGACTTCCTATATTATGCTTTAATTTGATATTGTGCTCACTTCCAATACAGAGAGTAAGTACAAATATTTTTTTGTTTTTGGTAAAACTACGGTTAAGGATATTTTTTCCTTAGGTTGATCTTTCTAAAAATAGAACCATTTAATTTTTTTGAAATATTTTGTTCTAGGGGAACAAAATCAGCAGATGAATTTTTATGCTTTCTAGAATCAAAAATAAAAGTCATTTTACGTAACAAGTTTAGGTTTTTTGCATTATTTGTCATAGAACTAATTTTAATGTCTAAATATCAACCTGTGATTTATTATACAGATCTTTTAGAAATTTGTGAGTTTCAATACTTAAACTCCTTAAACTTTAATATCTTTATGTTGTTGTTGTTTCGATAGGTGATCAGATGCCTCAGGAAAGGGTGTGATTGTCGTCTATCTGCAGGGTCAATCCATAACCCCAGCCCTGTTCACCCAGGACAAGTAGTTCTCCAGCTCAAATCCACTCTAGGTCGTCTCTTCCCAGCCTGAGGACCTACGCCACTCTAAGCACCTTGGGGCTGTCTCTCAGAACACTGGAAATACACCAGAAACAGGTGAAATAAAGGGCTGTCTCTGCATCAATGGTTAGTAAGACCCTTGGGTCAATACAGTGCTTTCCCGCTTGACGAGTCTGTACTCTAGAGCCCCGATACTTGACTGTAAAAGTAGCATTTCAAGTTGACATAAATCTGTCAATTGTTTTCAGCCACTAACCAATCTCACAATTAAGGCAACAACCTACTCGGGTTCCCACAGCAGTGATGACCAAAGGGGACAAATGCAAGGCTGGTTGAAGAACAAGCCGAAACTGCCGTGTTCTGATTGCTCTCAAGTCTGCCACGTCTACCTCCCCGCCTCTGCACAGGGCTGCGCAATGTGCCTGTCACCCAGCAGCCAGGCTCCCGCGTCACAGCCGCCTGTGGCAGCAGCTGAGAAACAACCAGTTGAAAATGCCAGTTTGGAAGCAGAATTGTGAAGCAGTTGGGTTTTCTGGTGCGCGAGAGCACGCAGTGATGCTCACAGCCTCTGCGTGGCCCCGCTCCCCAGCGGCAGGCAACAGTGCGTCAGCAGAGCGAAAACTACTCCTGGTCCTTACGATTTGGCATTGCTACCTTTCAGACTCCACGTAAATAAACCAAGCCTGGAGGGTCTCAAGGGCATTTCCACCACACGAGACAGAAAGTGAACTTCTGTTGGAGACATCCTGGTAAGCGGTTCACATTACAGTAGAGATCCACAAACCAATGTGACGGTGCCAGAGCACAGGGAAGACGCGGAGAGCCGCGAGCGTGCAGGGGTTACTTCACGCGCTTGCGTTTCCCACGTCTTAGTGAAGCAGATGTGACTTTTATTGCATTTAAAAATTACAAGCTTCTGTGCTTTAGGTTTCATGTTGGCCTGCTTTGTTGATGAAGCAAAAGAACAAAGTAGGAATTTTCTTTCCATGTTTCAAAAATGTTATGATACTGAAATAGTTAAATTAGACGTGGTTTGGCTGCTTTTGAGCATGCAATCAGAAAAATACATAAATAAACAAAATCTCAAATAGCAAGTTTCCTGTGAAATCGTATGAATCTTCTCTTGATTTACATGACTAGCACTGGCCTGAGAAATTAGAACTTGTCCGTTAAGTTGAGCCGATAGGACTTCGCATGGCCTTGGAGGCCTGATGCCAACAGTCGGAATAGAAGATGTCCAGGTCAGCAAATGTGGTGTGCAGGTGCGTGTGTGTGTGTGTGTGTGTGTGTGTGTGTGTGTGTGTTGTGTGTGATGTCGGTGTAACAGAAACCACTGCCGCTGTGAGACATGTCTGTTAGCAAAGGTGAGGTAGGGATGCACCCAAAAGTAACAGCAGAAAAAGCAAACTCACTGAACAGTATTGACAGAAGAAGTAAATAAGACTTTAAACATAGGATAACAGTGTATACAGAAATGAACATCTCCTAAAAACATACCCATGTGCCCCTCTGTGTTATGGGCTGAGTTATGCCCCTCCAAAAATTCACATGTTCAGGGTCTAACCCCAGAACTTCAGAGTGTGACTCTATTTAGATATAGGGCCTTTAAAGAGGCGATTAAGGTACAATGAGGTCATGTGGGAGGGCCCTAATCCAATATGACCCGTGCCCCTACAAGAAGGAGAGACTGAGCCACAGACAGACACACAAGGGAAGACCACGTGAACACAGGGAGAGGGCAGCTGTCTGCACGCCCAGGACAGAAGCCTTAGAAGGAACCAACCATGCTGACACCGTAATGTTGGGCTTCTAGCCTCCCGAATGTGAGGAAATAAATTCATGTTGTTTAAGCTGCCTGGGCTGTGGGGCTTTGTTACAGCAGCCGTCACAGACTAACACGCTACACACTCCTGCCTGACTTCCTCCCTCACGCCCAGCGGTTCTTCCCTGAATCCATTCAAGGTTCTCCGAGCCTTGATGGCCATCGTGAGCAGTGGTTTGGGTGATTTCAAGAACAGGTAGGTGGCACCAGGAGCAGGTGGAGGAGATGTCTCTACCTTTGATGTCTTCCAAAATCCATAGATATTTTCTTTCCGGATTCATAGAAAACAGAGGCCAAGTTGTTGTAACAGAAATATCTTCTCTTCATTAGGCATTCTGCTCTCACAAGTCAGCCAAACTCCTGTTAGCAGTTCACAGTTTTAACAGGGGAGAGACATTTATAACACATTCCTCTCAAAAAACAAAAATGTGTTTCTGCCATTGAAAATGAGTCCTGATGTCTATGTAACACCTCAGGCAACACAATTATTTCTGTTTTAGTAACACAAAAGAGTCCTCTTGAAAGAATTGCAAAGCATTTACAAATATAAGCAAGTCAAATGAAAATAATAAAGTTTATTTCCTCTCCTAAAGTCTATCGTGCAACTGGATTTCATTACTGGGCATCATTTTTCTCTCTTAGGGAAGATGTAAATTGCATATGTAGAATACTCAACACAATAATCTTAATAGCAAAGTACGCTTACATAAATGTTATGGGACTAGATTGTTTAAGAGATTTAATAGCATTATTAAAGAAATTATGTGCATAACAAATGAAAAGCTAATCAACTAGACTAGTGGATGCAAATTTACCTTTTGTTCCCAATTGTAAATAATGATAAAAGAAGCCCAGATTCAAACATCCATCCTTTCTAATAATCCTCTGTGGAAGGCAATATTGGTTGGATAACCCACCTGACATTCGAGCCCCATTCTGCTTTGCTTGTCTTCAGTAGAATCCATCTAGTCCTCCTTTCCAGCCTCTCTTGCAACGTAGGGGAGTCACATTCTGCACAATGAGATGAAAGTAAACATCTTTGGGGATAGGGAGGCTTCTAGAAAAGAGTTTGAATTAGAAATTGATAAGATGATACTATCTCCCTTTCCTTCTTTCTCTTTTCCATATGCATGTGATTCTTGCAGCTGTGCAGCCTTCTTGTGATTAAGAGGCAGTATGGGTAAATGTGAAAGACTAACACATTGAGGATAGTGTAATGAAAAGACAGGGAAAACAAAGAATATGAGTCTTGACAGCATTGTTGGTAAACTACAACTAACACTAGCAACCATTTGCCTCCAGACTTTCTTTTATATGAGAAAAATAAACCCCTATCAATTCAAGGCATTATTAGTTGGATATTCTGCTACTTTCAACTGAAATCATTCCCAACTAATTACTGTCCCCAATTGCTAGTGCTCCCTCTCACCTGTGAGAGGATGGTGCATCCCCATCTATTGCCATAGAACTGGCAGTGCGCTCACTGTGGAAGCCAAAACATCCCTTCCCCACTGCCGTTGGACTAGGCCATGCCATGTACTTTTGCCAAGAGGTATCAACAGTTTCTCCAAACCATCTTACTCTTTTCTGCCTGCCATGCGGATGGTAAGTCTGCCGTGAGAATGCCAAGAGAGCAGCTGTTCCTACAGTGTGGGTCACAAAGTGAGGTGAGGTATAGAGAAGAGACACAGCAGCCAGCCCGTGGTAACCGTTGTGCAACATGAGAGAGATTTCAGGGGTTGCTTGTCACCACCACTTGTTACAAAGAGGACGTATACAAAGTCAATACCAGAACTGGGTATGGTGTGACTTGCTTTGGCCAATGAAACATGACCTGAACTGATGTCTGCTGTGACAGGCAAATGGTCAGAGAATTTCTACCAGCCTCTTGCCATTTTCCCTTTGCCATGAGAATGATCTGTCTGGATCCCAGAGTGAGAAAAAAGTGAATCAAACTCATTATATGTGGCTGCAGCTGCTGACAGGCAATATGATGAAAAACAAATATCACTGCAATCAGTATTTTTACTTGGTTAACACAGTAAAGATAAATAATACATACATGTTCCTTAATTTTCTTTTCATTAAACCTTTCTCAAACCCCAACACATATGTGCTAGCCCCAAGGGAGTGAGCAGAGGGGACAGAGGCTGCAGGGTTGCAGCATTCTGGCCTGTCCTCTCATGTGTCACTCAGTGACACTCATGTGTCACTCAACATGTGATACATGTTGATTTGTCTGCAACATGAATGTACTAATAAGATAGCAGAACATTTCTCAAAGAATTTTCTGAATAACCCAATTTCAGCAGGAAATAAGTGTCACATTAAAAACAAAAAAGATGATCATGATCAACTAAGCCTGGGAGATAGTGAGCTAAAGAAATTCAAGTAGGTTTATTACCTTAAGGTTCCTCAGAGCTTGTCATGTGTTGATGTATATTGCAAATCATGAAGAGAGAATTTGATTTGCAGGTCTCCTAAATTGCCTTGTGTCTCAAGGCCATTTTCATTTTCAGGCCATCTATTAGGACCAGGCGTTCACATACGGTAATTTGGGATGTGACCAGACAGTGGATGTGAAAGACTAGCTTGTACACATTGGCCTTGAAGTAGTCACATTGCAACGCTTGTGAGCCACTGCTGGGGGGAGACCCACTCCTGGACTCAGGCAGGGCCATGTGCCTGCCTGTAAGGACATTGGTTTCCAGCTCCTGCTCCAACTAGCAAGTGACTCTTCTCACCAAAGAGGCTTTGGAAGGTCCCTATAGCTCACAGAGAAAGCTGATCATGCAGGGAGAATTCAGCCTGCCAAGCAACAGGGAATTCAGATTGGAGCAGGGACAGTAGGACAGCCAGCATTTTGCAAAGCCTTTTGGAGGGCAACATGTCTCCCATTGAAATTTAATTATAAACACTTAGTACTTAAACCTGTGCTTCAAATAAGTGTGTATTCAAAGACAAAGAGTTCTGTGCAATTAATAGGGCCCTAAGCAAAAAAGGCAATCCCACCAGTAAAGCCTGTGATAAGAAATATGGCCATAGAAGAAGAGCATAGAAACTGGAAGAAAGAAGAGGAGGGGCCTCAGAGAAGTGGGGAGAAGGAGAAAAAGGGGGAGAGACTCAGAGCAAATCCTAAGACCAGCCCCACAAGTCTGGAGAGCTGCAGGAAAGGACTGGCAATTGGGATAAGACCACCTTCGATATCTTTGTAGGGAATGTGTAGACTTTTCCAATAATGTGGATTTGATTCAGGAGAGAGAGCAGGGGTCCAGTTTCCAGCCTTGCATCTCAAGAGAGCAAGTGGAAATAGACAGCTTGCAGCCTAGGTCAAACTGGGCGGAGTGTTTACTTGGGGAGGTCTGTGGCAAGACACTGATGACAGATCAGAATGATGGGCATGGTGGAACCGTTCTAAGGTCCAAAGCCAAAGTCAAGGGTGGACATGAGAGAGAATATTTTCAGGTCACTAGTAAGAAATAGTGGGATCAGGATGAAATCAGGGATGCAGTTTAGGATGAAAACTGCCAGAGTGCCGGTGTTGTGCTGTTTGGAGTGTCCAGAGGGGGCAGGCGGTATGGAGCGTATGAGCTAGCACATTTGGGCAGCTTGCCCTGGAGGAAGAGTTTCTTTGTTTACCTATAGTTTCAAAGCAAAAGCCCAGATGATGTGCATCTGTTGGCTGTATTCCCTTTAGAGCGTGTCCAGAGAGGATGCAGAGATCTGGCAGAACACCGAGCAGCCTCCTGCCTGTGAAGGCAGAACAGCTCCTCCTGCGTCCAGCAGGGCACTGCAAACCTGGCCCCGCCAGGACTTCCAGGCTGAATGACATTTTAATAGTGCAAGGCCTTGACGTGGCAGCCCACGTGTCCTAGCTGTGGGTGAAAGCCTAACTCCAGTCCTGGCTCAACTTTCTTCTCCTTCCGGTTCCCTAACGTCTGCCCCTTCTCCATGCCAAGACTCTTGCCCACGAAGGTGGATAGCTTTTCAAGCCAGAGCAAAGAGTCCAAGTCCTTGTTAGCACAAAAATACAGATGATGTGGGGGAGGAAAAGTGGCTTATTTCTACTCTTCTAGATTCTCTGGTTGGTCTACAGATGAAATTGATATGGATAGTTTAACTAGAGAAAACTATTTTGATTATGTACATACACACAGGAGTCCAACAAAAACATGAGACTCGAGGAAGGAGTGAGGTCATTGAGGCTTACATGTAATCCTGAGCTACAGGAAGGAATAGGGGCTTGGGGCTTATTGGGGGTGGTGGAGACGAAGTGGGAGAAGGTGAGGTGTGACACGCATGGTGAATAAAAGTCACCCTGTTATGCATGTAAGTCTCTCAGGTGATAAAGTGGTTTTGGAATAGCTCTCTTCCTGGCACAAATATCTTTACTAATGAAAATTTCTTATATAAATGTAAATTTCTTTTACAAAAGGGAAAATGTATACTTTAGGAAGCTGATAGGTGGTAAAGTGGTTTTTCTGCATTTGGCTATTTTCAATTTCTTTCACCTCAAAATAATCAGTATGCCAAAGTGACATAATTTGGGGTGACAAGTTCTGAACCCCAGCAGAGACTATGTTAGAAGAAAGGGACAGCAGAGCTAGATAAGCATCACTTTGTTTTAAGCTGCCCTACTACGAAGACTCCATAGCAGCTGTCCCCAACCTTTTTGGCACCAAGGACTAGTTTAATGGAAGACAGTTTTTCCACGAACCAGAGGGTTGTTGGTTTCAGGATGATTCAAGCACATTACATTTATTGTGCAGTCAAATCTCTCTGCTAATGAGAATCTGTGTTTGCAGCCGCTCCCCAGCACTGGCATCACCGCTCAGCTCCTCCCAGACCATCAGGCATTGGATTCCCCTAAGAAGCTTGTACAACCCAGATCTCTCTGGCACAGTTACAGCAGGGCTCCCGCTCCTGTGAGAATCCCGTGCCAGGGCTGATCTGGCAGGAGGCGGAGCTTCTGTGGCGATGCAGCGATGGGGAGCGGCTGTAAATACAGACGAAGCTTCCGTCGGCCTGCAGCTCACCTCATGCTGCGCGGTCCCATTCCTGAAAGGCCACGGACCAGTCCTGGTCTGCCGCCCAGGGGTTGGGGACCACAGTTCTGAAAGACCAGAGTCTCTCCAGTGACCAGATAGACACAACTGCCACTCAGGGGAAGAGGACAAGGGCAGAAGCCACCAGAAGGTGACGGTGACGAAAGAGAGGTAGGCCTGGGAACTGGGACATCCTTGCAAAATGAATCCATGAAGGAAAAATACCACAGCATTCTCTGGGATGTGGCCTATGTTCACAATCATGTAGTAGCAAACTTACATACTTTCTGCAGAGGCACTGTTCTTATCTGCCCGCCCAGAAGCCACAGCTCCACCCCCCACCCCATGAGGCTCACATGGCAGAGAGATGTCAGCCCTACTTAGTGGTGGGGGCTGGAACAACGGCTGGACTGTGGGGAATTTTAGAACAATTTTAAAATCGACTGAGAGTTGGTTTGCTCATTATTAACACTGTGCACCAGCAATTCAAAACAATGTCAGTGATAAAATACTCATCTACAAAGCATCTTTTTTACGTCTAAATTCTAAATTATTGCTGTACTTCCTATTGAATTGTTTTTAAATTGTGGTAAAATATATAAAATTTACCATTTAAACCATTTTCAAGTATACAGTTCAGTGGCATTAACTACATTCACATTATTGTACAACCATCACCACCATCCATCTCCGTAACTCTTTTCATCTTGAGAAACCAAAACTCTGCCCATTAAGCAACAACTCCCCGGTCCCTTCTCTGCCAGGCCCATTCCACTTTTGTGTCTATGGATTTGACTACTTTAGGTACCTCATGTAAGTGAAATCACACACTATTTGTCTTTTTGTGACAAATGTGACAGTGTATGTCTTTTTGTATGCTATTTCGTTTGGCATAATGTTCTCGAGGTTCGCCCATGTGGTGGCATGTATTAGATGGCCTTTCTTTTTATGGTTGAATAATAGTCCACCATGATGTCTGTGTGTGTGTGTGTGTATTAGATAGATAGATAGATAGATAGATAGATAGTATATATAAGTTGAGTATATATAATATCCCACCAATATGGTGTATGTGTGTGTGTATACACACATATCACGTTTTGCTCCATTCATTTATTGATGGACACTTGGATTGCATCCACATTTTGGCTATTGTAAATAATGCTGCTATGAACAAGGGTGTACAATGATCTCTTCAAGACCTGGCTTTCAATTCATTTGAGTATTTAACCAAAAGTGGAATATCTGGATCATATGGTAATTCTATTTTTAATCTTTTGAGGAACCACCATACTGTTTGTTTCCATAGTGTCTGCACAATTTTACATTTCCACCAATGATACACAAGGGTTCCAATTTCTCCACATTCTCGCCAAAACTTATTATTAATATTTTCTGGTTTTTGATAGTAGCCATCCTAATGTATGTGAGGTGGTATCTCATTGTGGTTTTTATTTGCATTTTTCTAATGATTACTGATATCAAGCATCTTTTCATGTGCGTATTGGTCATTTGTGTATCTCCTTTGGAGAAATATCTATGCAAGTCCCTTATCCATTTTTTAATCAGTTTGCTTGTTGTTCTTGTTGTTGTTGTTGATTTACTGAGTTTTAATAATATCTATGTATGTTTCAAGATGGCATGTATTTATTACTTATTTTTTAAACATGTTTCTTTTTTTTTAATAAATATATTCAAGAGGGAAGTTAATTTGGAGGATTCCCATTTATGCAGCCAGTTCCCAATACAAGCAGATTCAACTATGCAAGTTTATTTGGAGAGTATGTTTCTAATAGGTGTGAAGGTTCCATATTACTTCAGGTACAGTTTATCTCTCCAACCCTGGAAAACCACATATGCCTGTATTTAAATATATTCTAATTTAAATGCTGGAACAATGATTATGAAAAAAAGAAAACAGAACTTGAACTACTTCAATTCTGCCATCCAGTGTAACCACTCGAAGTTTTATGTGTGTCTAAAATTTGAAACAGTGAAGCAGTGTGCTAGGAGCAACATTTTTATTTTATAAAATTTACAAATTTTATAAAGTTAAGTTTATGCATGAAACATTTTACTGAATTTAAATACCTTTCAATTTGAAATTTGTTTGTTTTCAATTGTTAATAAATCAAGAAAATAAAATGTAATGTTTGCCTAAATTGAATCTTCTGCAAATGCTTAATGTTATTATATTTTTCTTACTATAATTGTTTTTCTTGGCATGAATAGGAGCCTCAATAAAATAAAATGTTTATTATCTGCATTTCTTTTCTAGCCATTATTAATTACCATTTATTTCATTTTAAGGTTATTGCTGAAAAAAATTGTATCATATGGAGAAGAGAGGTGCTAAGAGTGGTCCGCTCTGGTGCTGCACACAGAAGGGTGCCACTAGTACCCACATCCCTCACCTGGTCCTCATGAGCTTGTCTTCACCGTCGGGGGGGGGGGGTTGGGGGGAGGGATGACTATGATGTGATCCATGCAGGCCTGCTCTTGTCCCAGGAAGGGAAGAGTACAATGTGGGCCCAAATGCTCAAAAAGTCCCCACTAAATTACTTTGGCATAAGTAAAATCATTATTTTAGCAGACTGGTGTTTTAAATGATTAAAGTTTAAATCTAACAAGGCAATGAAGCAGCAGAAAGACAAAGACCCAGAAGGCAGCTGCAGGCATAAATGTCTTCTCTGTAACCACAGCAGCACCTGCCCCAAATGCTCCCGCTGAATTTCCTCACTAGCAAGGGTTTCTCGCTTGAACCACCGGTAACACTGCACGAAGTGTGTTCAGCTCTGAGCTACTTTGTTGGGAAGATCAGCAGAACCTGGCATGAATGGTGTCTCTGAGACCATCCAGACGCAAAGAGGAGGAGGCTGCCAGGACAGCCGCCTACCTGTTTGGGAAACAGCACGAATCTGGCCAGAGCATTCCTGGCGGAGCCCGGACAGCAGTTGCTGAATGTGGAGCTGAGACAGGGCTGAGGCTGTAGAGCCGACTCTCCTCGTCCTTCCAACTGGCTTCGAAGAGCGAAAAATCAATGTGTTTCCTTAGATCCAGAGCTGCCGTGGGCCCCTGTCCAAACTGGCCGCTGCCCTTCTGTTCCACTGAAACCCTTACTGCCAGTGGTTTTGATCTTTTACTTTAAAAATAAGATGTGCTTTCTGCATTTTAGCTCCTTTCAGAACTGCTCTAATGTAGAGCAGATGAAATCCATGTGTTATTTAGGGAAAAATGGATATTCTTTCATATATAAGATTCTCTGGAACTCAATCCATTGTTTAATTTTATAGTGAACTACAACATACAACAGAAACATGTGCAAATTCTAATTGAACAGCCTGATGAATTTTCAGAAAGTGAACTTACCCTTGTTACTGATCAAGAAAGAGAACACTACCAGCATCCTGGGAGACCCCGAGCCTCCTCCTAGTTCTTACTCTCCAGCAAGGGAAACCCTGTCCTCATTTCTATCCTCATTGATTAGTTTTGCCTGGAATGAACTCTACGGAATTTTGCCACATGTGCTCTTGTATGTCTGAATCTTTAAGCATAACATTAAGTATGTGAGAATCATTTTGTTGTGTGTGTTCATTTATTATCACTGCTGTATAGTATGCCATTGTAAGAATATAACACAATACATTTATTCAATCTTCTATTCATGGACATTTGGGATGTTTTCAGTCTGAGGCGATCCCAAATGCTGCTATATTCTTATCCATGTTTTCAGGGTCACAAATATACATATTTATCTGAACAGCAGGGATCTCTCTAAGAGTAAAACTTCTAGGTTATAGAATATTATATATTCATAGATACCACCAAAGAATTTTCCAAAGTGGCTGCTGTACCAGTTTAGGTTCCCACCAGCAGTGTAGCTGTGCGGGTGCTGCCCAGTAATGTCACATTATAGTTTGCATTTCTCTCATGACGAATAGAATTTAGGGCCTTTCCTTGTGCTTGTTAGAATTTCAGAAGTCCTCTTTTGTTAAATACCTATTCAAGTCTTTTGACCACTTTCCTATTGGATTCTCTGCCTTTTTCCTATTGACCTTTATAGTAAAAAACAATGGATATGTTATTATTGCAAAATTAGAAATTTTAAACACTAGATTCATTAGATTGATAATAGCAACTAACATTTATTGAACTCACTATATGTGCTACAAGGCACTGTTACAAACATGTTACGTGGCTAAACTCATTTAATTCTGTCAACATCAACGACCCATAGGTAGAATCTATGAATACACCCATTCCTAGAAGAGGAAACAGAGACACAGAAAGATGGAGTTGTCTCACGGAAGGTCGCAAGCCAATGAGGGCAACAAGTCCAGAGAGAAGCGTGGAGTTTACATCCCTAAGGAACTGCAGGATGCTCATGGCCATGGGCTGGATTTGCGGGGACTCTTTGGTACCATACAGTGAGAGCAAGGGAAGGAACCTGGGGCTTCTGCCAAACACCATTGTTAGACCACCTCAGCGAGGGATGAGTTTGCGTCACACCTTCACAGAGCCTTTGTTTTAGAAGAGGAAGGGAATGAATATATGTTGAATGGTTTCATAGCCCTGTTGTTAGGTGCTTTACAACCACATGAAACAGATTTCATTATTACCCCCTCTTCACAGATAAGACACAAGGATGTATAGCAACTAAATGACCTGCCCACATTCCCAGAGTTAGAGAGGATAGCCTCATAACTCAGACCCAAATACAAGCAACACCTGCCCCTAAACCACCTTTCTCAGGGCATTTAAGAACTCCCAGTCAGGGGTATTCTAGGACTTGTTTGTACCTGAGGATTCAGAAAAAGAGAACTGAACAAGCTGCTCCTACCGCCACAATCACGTATTATGCAACGTTAACAGCCCTTATGTCTCCAACTGGAAGATGCTTTCTCTTAAAAACAGGGTTGAAAAATTGTTGTAAGGGCAAGAAGATATACCTTATCTTTCTCATGAAACAATGACATTGGGAAACTGTGAGAGAGTCAGGACAATAAAGCAAGTGGTCTGTGTTAATGAATAACTACTCACTCATGATTCAGACAGCATCCATGGACAAGAACAGTTGCATCTTATTGTTCAATCCATTTCTCTTCTGAGCTTCTTCCGAGGGGTCTAGACAAGTTAACATTCTCGATGAACAGTCCCGCTGTAATAGTGAATGTCAAAGTATATATTTAACAATAAGAGAAAGTTATGGTTATGAACACAACCAATAATTGGCAATAAATGCATTGAAAACCACTATAAAGAAAAATCTCTAATCTATAAACATTTTTCCAGGATTGTTAAACCTATCAGTAACATTAGCAACAAGGGCAATGAATTGTCCTTTGGTTTTATTTTAGAAGAACAAAAAATTGGGAAAAGTATATTTATTTTCTAGATTTTATACATACCCACACACAAGAAAAATCAAAAGTATGTGCCTAAAAACACCCAAAAATATGTTTGTATGTCTACAGATAAGATAACTCTGGTGTTATCTTCTCTTTAGCAGAGAAAGAATGCTTACATGTGGCACTTTTTAAGATTTATATTGAAGATTTCATATATTTTAGGATACAGGACTCTATAAAGTTAATATAGCAGTCATTTTATATCTTCATAAAATAAAATACATATTATTAATAAAAAAAAAGAGTTTTATTAAAATATATAAGCAGCCCGATCTTGTCGCTTATAAGTTAAGGATCAAACTAAAAAGAAAAATCAGCCACTTTACAGGGTTTTAATAGAATTCATATCCTCATTCTATGGAGAAAGTAAAAGAAAAACCTGCTCTTGGTTATCCAGATACTATGCTCTTATGTTCTTTTTTCCTACAGCACAATAAGGGGAAAAGCCTGTGGGGGGGGCGGAATCCTACTCTTCATATACACAGATTTGAAACAAAATAAAACAATTGGTAGGCTTCATTCTGACCAGTCCTTGGTGGGTGTTCTAGATCTAGGAATTAGGCAACATTGGCCTCAAGTCTTTGATTTTTGTGGCCATTCTCTGCTCTGCAGCTACCGTTATGTCTGGGGGGAGTTTCCTCCACCTGCTCTGTCTGCAGTGCAGGAATTCACAGAGAGCAGGGCCTGCAGTAAGTCAGTTCTAGCACTTCTTTAGCCCATGCCTCAAGGCTGCTGCCGAGCAATGCTGTCATTTGTCATTTAGGCTGCTGGCTCCCTGCGAGAAACAGTGGAACTTGGTAAGACTCTAATCAGCCACTGAGACTTCAAGGGCAATTCTTAAACAAAAAGGCAACAATTAAATCAAATGAAGTTGCATTCTGGAATTGCCTTATATTTGGATGCAATTCACAGAGGAATAGGACAAACAAAATAAAAGTATGAATTGAACAGGAGAACCTTCTGGAAGTCCCTGGAAATGAGAGCATTTGGAGGTAGGAAAGAAAGGAGCAAGGCTGAAGTATTATATAATGAAATGACAACTGTGGGAATTCAACTCGGGGAGACAGTAAGGGAGCACTGATTAGGGAAGCGTCTTGCTGGAATAGATCTGGAGACAGTTGGGAAATCTAGATGACTGTTTTGATATTCTAGAATAATGTAATGGAGAAATAACAATGGAATAAATAACAAAAATAAATAGGTTAGGCTGCATCTGTGGTTAAAAGGTTGGTCCATTTTCTCTTTATTTATTTTCAAAGTCAGACAATTTCCCCTTAGTGGATTTGTGTTGTCTGATGGTTTGGTCATGTTTATTGAACTCCTTTAATTTTTTTTATAACTCTTCAATAACAGCAATAACTCCCATTACACCAGCAAACTCTCCTCGTGAGCTCTCTCACAATTTCTGCCCCTCCCACAGTCCACAGAGTCCACATGGAAAGGGTAAAATTTGGGCTAATGTCCTTCTACACTTCCTGTCCCCATTTGCCTTAAACCATACAGTACATACATAAGCTTCCTTCTTCATGGTGTATGAAACATATTTGCCCATGCTATTCATTCATGTATTCAGTAACCGATTCCTGGTCCCATATGATGCTCTAGCACTCTGCCTAGCACTGGTCAGAGGGATGCCCCCGCACGGGAGCAGGCAGTGTTGTCCTCATTTTGCAGGCGATGATATGCACTCCAGGTCACTCACTGGATAGATCCGTTTCTGGACAGTTACTAATGGAGGGATCCTAAGATCATGAGTTAATCTCTCTAAGCCTCAGTTTTCTCCTCTACAACAACAATGACATTTACCTCATAGTGTGTTCATAAGATAAAATCAGACATGATGAGCAACGTGCCGCAGGCAGCGACAGCACCCAGTCTTCGCTCAGTAAGGGGATCCTCAGCATGAATCACAGCAGTAGTGAGACAGCTAAGTGTCATCATGAAAAGAAAAAAAGACTAGGATCTGGAAAACACATCCTGGGATTCTCACTGTGCCCCTGGGAAACAAATGGTTAAAATTCTGCCTTTGAATCTCCACAGCTGTAAAACAGTGTAATTATATTCCCTACCTTAGAGGATTATTAACAAAAGTAAGCAAAAACAGTACATTTCCTAGTGAATCGTGTGTTCAGGGAAAGGTCGTCTTGCATTTATACAGCCCGCATTTTTTGATGCCAGACATTGAACTTACCCTGGGGTAACAGTTATCGGGAGAGCAGAGACCACAGCTGATTTTCCTGCCACCTGTGGCAACACTGGGAAAGGGAGAACTCCAAGTCAGGCCCTCTCCATCGAAGCTCCTTTTCTCGCTTTTCTACATCAGTACAGCTTTGCAGGGGAAGAGAGAGAAGCATGATTCAAAAGGAGATAGTCTGCTATAACCTTAATACTCATTAAGCAAAAGAAATAAAGAAAACATAAACAGAAAAAGAGAGAAACGGGAGGGAGAGAGAGAGAGACACCTACCTATCTCCGTGGAGAATGACTGAATGGAAACACACAAAAAGCTGGCTATGACTGGTAGAACTGATGCTGATTCAATTTTCTTTTAAACTTTTAACAAGTTTTCCAAAAAGCACCTATTACTCTCATCATCTGAAAAAGGAGTTAACATAAGAAAATATGTTAACATAAGAAAATATTCTCTAAAATTGAATTGAAAAATAAGACTATAGCATACATGAAATAGGATAATTTCTCATTATTTTTTCTACAGTGTCACTTACCTTAGGTTCCAGCCACACTACTAGGCTAACCTAACTCTGCAACCTCTTGGCTGAGTGTCTACAAGTTTGAAGATCTCTATCAGTAGAAAGCAGCTGGCTATTTTAAAGAGATTATAGTCCACGTGAGAGTAAGTGGAAACATAGGCAGGAAGCTAAAAAATAATGAAGGCATTTTGGGGGAAAATAGCAAGTCTTTTAGGAAAAATTCTGTCACTTCTAGTAGCAAAATTATTTTAAGTCATACTTCCCGAACAAGAAAATAAATGATTCTTATTGAGTTAGAGGGCAATAGCCTCATGCAAGAATTTATGAGGCTTATAATTTAGGTGTTTACTATAAAACATCCAACTTCTATGTGTAAATTAAGGAAAGTTACAGTGATAGTTTACATAAAGGGGAAATACAGGCTTCGTGCTGCTTGGACGAGAAATACCTCCGTCAGTGCCTACGGTAGTGAGAGAATGTGCCGATCACTCCGTGACCAGGAAGAGCACTGATGTCAATCTGGCCAAGAGTTTCACCTCCATGCTATGGAACGCTGCACAGTGCCCCAGCCACATTTAAGGGACCAGGCAAAGCACAAGAGGAAACCTATCATCGTTAAACTATTAAGCACTGAAGAATGAAACCAGGACCAGACCGTGTGGAATGTGCCCTTAATACCCTTCTGGGTTCCCAAAACCAGCTGCAGTTGGTTCCCATGGGCCCCACCCTCTCACAAGCACAGCCCTCTGCGGAGCATCTCAGAAACTGCTCTCAAATGTTCTTTGAGAGAGAAGCATCATCTAAAACTATCTCAAGCATTTCAGTCTACAGCACAGGAGCCATTTTTATAGTAAAGAGAACAGCCCCTTCCGTAGACGGGTAGTGATTTAAGGATTAAAATAGGTTTGATTTGGCTGATTTTTTTTCAGAAGGAAGTCTACATGCTATTGAGAGCACGTAATCCTCATGTCTGCCCTCCACGGCTCCTGTATGCGCAGTAGCAAGGCCTCAGGACCACAGGCCACACACACACACACTCTCACGCGCGTGTGCGCACACACACACATGCACACACACGCACACTCACACGCGCACGCACATGCACACTCACACTGAAATAGTCTCTATTTCTTTGAGAGCTCAAACCGGTTCCACAAATGGGTCCCATAGGCCATAGACCAGCTGGACAGTGGCATTTTCCTGTCGTCTCTCCTTCTCACTTTAATGTCCCTGTCTCTGACACATGAAGCCACTTCAAAAAGCCTCGTTTCCCTCACTGTACATCAGGAAAATGCCATTGCCCACACCAACAGGGCAGTGTCTGAATGTTCCTAAAATCCAGGCCTTACCATGCCATTACCCACAGGCCCTTTGCCAAGCTAGGGGGCCTTGCCTTTCCCCCGCTCTCTGGCGCGCTTCTCAGTCTCGCCAAGCCTCTCCCGAGGGCCTCCGCCAGCTCCCAGCCTGCACTGCACTTCCTGCCTAGGGTGCTACCAGGCTTCCCGTGAAAATCCGTTTCAAACACCTGTGATCACGCTATCTCAAATCCAATCTGTGGGATTTGAGGGAAACAGTTGCCAAAGTATCTCCTCTGTTTTCTACTACTCTCAACTAAACGCCTCCCTCCGTCACTCACCACAGAAGTCCCATGTGTGTCTGGACAGATTCGTGCAGACTCGGGCTGGTGGAGGAGAAGATGAGGTGTGGGGAGAGGAGGAGGAGGATGTATCTTGGTCTCAGCTCAGCCACGCTAAGGCCCCAGATGGAAGACTGAGGAATGTTGGTTTTTATCTACACTCAAAGATAAAAGATTGCTTCGTTAGATCATTCATTACATGTGACATTTGCCCTCTAGCTGACACGATATATTATGGAGCTGACAGCTGTCTAGCAGAACTTAGGAAACTGTGATTCCAGCCTTGGCCTGCCCCTTGCGCCTGTGTCCCCGGGCAGGCCGGAGCGGCACCCTGCCTGGCCCACCGCGCTGCCCTCGCGGCCGCGGCGCAGTTAATACTTTTAGCTCCGATTTCTCTGCGCTTTCCCCGCCATCCCGACAAGTTACAGCGACAGCAGCTCTCTTATGTGCCCGACGAGGCTGTAAATTTGAAAGATACATGTGAACTTATCTACCGCAGGCACCCCTTCTTCTTGTGGGTCAAAACATGCTCCTAATGAAGTCCGATAAGCACAGCAGCCCAGCCGCAACTCCTCCTCCAGGAAGGAGCCCGGCCGCCTGCCCAGCCCTCCTGGAGGCACTCAGCTACGTCCAGGGGCTCCTTCGCAGCCAGGACACAAGAGCGCCTTCTCAGGACAGTCTCCTTTCATTCAAATACTAGCCTTCAAGAAGAATTTTTAAAATGGTTTATGTTCTTTTTTATCCCAAGTATCTCCTGCTGGTTTTCACTGTGAAATGGCTAGTGCCGCAGCCGCCTTAAAGGGCACGGGTTCCCGATAGTGCGACTGCCCACTACCCACCCTCTGCTTCCCGAGTGACCTCAGAGACAGGATCCTGTGGGCTCTCCATGGACACGTAACAAGAACAAGAAATAAACTTTCATTGTGCCAAGCCACTGGGATTTCAAGGTTAATCTGTGATCTCAGTGTAGCCTAGCCTATCCTGAGAAATAGAGGCCCATGAGAAAAAAAACACTTTAGTTGGGTTTTTAAATAGGTTTTAACTATTGCATGAGTTAAGAATATGCCGAGAGACAGTGGCCACAGTAAGAAGTTAGAGCGCAGTGGCGTCATCATAGCTCACTGCAACCTCAAACTCCTGGGCTCAAGGGATCCTCTTGCCTCAGCCTCCCGAGTAGCTGGGACTACAGGCATGTGCCACGACGCCTCGGCCTCCCAGAGTGCTAGGATGACAGGCACGAGCCACCACACCCGGCCTAAGACTAAATTAGCTTTAAAGAGCTTTCAGGTCTAGCATTCTATAAATGAACTTCTCATTTCCTGTCTAGGAAGCTACCCACTATCTATAACTTTCTTTCTGTGGCATTATGCTTTTTTTTCTACATGGCTAAAAGAAAATACTAACTGGCAATTGTTTGGAATGCAACCTATTTATAAGCTTAGGCTTACGCTAAGGTTAAAATCTCATTTACTGTCAGGATACTTATAAATCCTGTATTTATGGATATGCCTTAAGAAGCAAGTTAGTGCCTGTTTTTTTAACCATGCAATGAATATTCCTACAATTTATGCAATTTGAGCACACACAAAAAAATTAACTCAACAGAATATAAAATTAAGGAGCATCACTAGTGGGTGAATTAATAAAGTGATAATGATCTGATTCAGAGTAATAAGGAAAAGGTGCTCTAGAAAGAAACATACACATAAAATAATGACACTACCCTATCTTCAAAGCAAATTGAATAAAGACTATTGGAGAACTTCCCGTGTGATAAAGGAATAATCCTTTTCAATCCATAAAACCCAGATCTGGCTCGATTCTCATGCCATGGAGCTTACAGAGGGCTTTAGAAAAATTGTATTACAAGAGATCATGCACGAATGTTTCTGGCAGGGGTGTGGGAGAGCCAAGACTCTTTGTTTTGATATGAATTAAGTTTTCATCTCTGGTTTTGGAGTTGAACTACTGGCTCTTGCTCAGGTTTTCCCTCTGACATTTGCCTTGGCTGCAGCGCTAAGCCTCAACTGCATCAATTAACATCTCCTGCTTTGCCTGATTCATTTCCTGCTTGTCGCCTAACATTTTACTTGAATCATTTTCAAATTCTCTCTTCTGAACAAACCTATACTTATCCCATGATTGGGCACCGACATAATCAAGTCATGTTTGTTCATTCATTCTTTTTGCTTAGACCTGTGTTTGGGAAAATGAATACCTCTTACTTTTGAATAGTGGATAAAAATGCAAATTTATGCAGGCTGATTTTGTCATAAATACTGATTACTATCCCTTGGTTTAGGTAACTGAGCCATAGGTTACACACACATATGCACACACACACACACAGAAAGTATTTTGATAGAATAGGTTGTATATTAGACTTAAAGTGAATAATAAAAATATATTACATCCTTAGAGTTTATACTATGCATAAATATAAATAAATATATATTTACTTTCTAAAAGTAATTTATATTTTATAAATATTATGTGTAAAACAAGGGAAATAAATGTAATTAGAGTAATATTTTGAAAATCCTTTATGAGTTTTCCTTTTTGCCTTTCTTTTATCACACCTTTTGCATCGGTCAGCCCAAAGCCTCCGTGTGTCTCTGTGAAGGAGACTGGTGTTTATTACAGAAGGAGTTACAGAGAAAGAACGAGGCAATATTCAGCATCTGACATTCACAAGATTTTACTCAAGGACAAGAGGCTCGAGGGCCAGCACTGCTGAGAAGGAAAGGACTTCCTTTTTCTCTTCCTCTCACAAATCTGCCACGAAGCTGGGAGAGCCAGGGTCTCTGTGTTTCACTGGAGTTCAGAGAAGGCCTTCTTTCTGTCTAGGATATAGAGGCCCTGAAGTTACTGCTCTTACATGAAAGAAAGATACGATTTAGGGGAAATGAAAAAAAATCTCTGATCCCAAGAGATGGCTGGCAGAAGAGCAAAGAGAGGAAGAAGCAGGGACCAGTCGGATACACCCTCCCAACTCCCCCAGCCTGGGGGGCCGAGGCGAGAGTGAAGGGGGCTCGCAGTGAGACACGGGGCCCCGGCTTCCGTCTGTGCCTGGGTTTGCAAGAGGATCCCACTCCAAAGGCCGCTGTCAGTGGGTGTGCGGCTCTGCCTGGCAAGGGGAGGATGTGGCGTTTCACACTCCCAAATTGTCCCTGTTTCACTGTAAGACAGACAGACAACTGTGGCAGCTGAGGGTCTGGCTGTGGAACTTGCCAGAGGGGTTGCCATAGTGGGATAATCTCACTCAGCAGCAAGGACTGCCCAGGGCTGCCTGCCCTGCGGCCACCCGGGAATCGCAGCCAGGCCGTGGAGACAGCCGAGGTGCCAGGAGGGCAGAGCTGAGAGGGAAGCGGGCACCGCTGCGAAGCGGCCACGCGGCCACCAGGGACAGCATCAGCGCTGCTGAAGAATTACTGTGCTATAAAGGCAACCAGGAAGAAATGTCTTATTAAGTAAGTTTTTCCTCTAGCTTCCACCCAATAAGGGACACTGAGTGTAATTTTCTGTATTTTACAAATATTTTATATGCCATGGTAGACTATATTAAGAAGCACTAGGTGCCCTTCCCGTAAAAGGGTTGCTTATCTCACTGCTCTGCACTAAACTATGGCCACAGAATTTGGCTTGGCCAATGCAAAGTGGGGAGAAGTGGCATCTCTCACGTCCATGCAGATCAGGAGCCAGCTCATGGTTCCCCTGTGGGGTGTTTTCTATGACAACAACGAATTCTCCAATTCTCCGACACCAACTGGGGTCCTACAATTCCATTCAGTTTGGACTCCAACCACGTGGAGTCAACACAGACCCCACGGCTTAAGGGTTCAGCCCCACAAGATTTCCCTCACTTCAGATCTCAGTTTCAAGTGCCAGGACATCTGTACTTCTGACCAACCAGCTGTAAATCGAGGATTCCTCCTCAGGTTCAATAATTTGCTAAAATGGCTCATAAAATTAAGGGAAACAATTTTTCTGGATTTACTGGTTTATTACAAAGGACATAACTCAGGAACAGTGACATAGAAGAGATGCATGGGGCTAGGCATGGAGTAGGGGTGCAAACCTCCTGGGCTCTTGCTGAACATGCCACCACCTGGCCACCCTCCTGGAACCTTGGTGTGGTCACCAACCCAGAAGCTCTCCCACTCTCACAATTCAAATGTTTTTATGGAGTTCAATCTCCAGCCCCCATCCCCACTCCCTTTCTAGAGGTCAGTGGAGTGAAAATACCAATCTTCTAATCATTTGGTCTTTCTGGTGACCACCTTCAATGTGAGGCTGTCCAGGGACCACTTACGTCTTTAGCATAAACTTGGGTATGATTGAAAGGGGTTTGTTATGAATAACAAAAGATGTTCATATCACTCAGGAAATTTCAAGAGTGTTAGGAGATCTGTCTCAGGACCTGGGGATAAAGACCAAATATACTCCTTATTATATAGCACACCATATTTTGTCTCTTATCTCTGGGTTATAGAAGCACATGTCAAGATGGTGTTACTGAAAGCTTGGGACTTGTCCCCAAGGCCACATCAGGAGAACGAGGACAAGTGGTTTTTGAGGAGAAGGAAAGAGCTGTCTTACTAATTTGCTGGAAAATGAGGAGGATGGAGACTACTGTCTAAAAATGCCATCATCCCAATAATAAACAGAAATACAGAGTTTTTCAAGAATGGGTTCTCAGGTTCAGGCAATTACTGTTCGACTACAGTTGATGATTCTAATCATTCCATCTCTGTACTGTCTCCACCTAAGACAATCCAGTGACCTCCGCCTGGGACCTCTGTCCACCAGGTCTGGGCGGGCCTGGCAGTTCTGCTGAGCTATCTCCTGTAGCACAAAGAACCAAAGATATTCCCCTGCCCCTCCCCACTGCTGGCCTGAGGCAGGCATGCAGGTCTTAGTTCTCCATGAGGAGTGGGAGATGTTTAAAAGAGACAGAAAATATTTTGCTATTTTTTTCAGGCCATTCCTTCTGTTATATATTCCCCACTGTCAATATTACCTTCCATATCTCTGGGAGTAGGAGTGACAACTCTGTCACATATTCTTCCCTGTCAATTTTAGCCATCCATATCTATGGGAGAGGATGTTGAGCTACTTCGTGCTGAATGGTGATGTTTCAGATGTAAGGTCTATATTAATACTTACATATGCTATCTCAAGGCTTTGGCTGTATATTTACATCAGTAGATTACCAGGCAAAAAACAAAGTCATAAGCAATAACTGCAAGAGTGAGGGCTGACAAGGAGAAATGAACTGTCGCCTTGTACACAATGTCCGACACAGAAAGAAACACGGGACCTCTGAGTACGGAACTACTGGTTGCACCCCCTGTAGGTGATCCGAGAAACCAGCTTCTTCAAACTCAGAAATACTTGGACCAAACAAGGTTTAGGATGACAAACCCAGCAGCAAGAAGAATCAGATCAGCAGAAGAGGTGATAGCCAGGGGAAATCCTCACTAAGGAGCTGTCTCTCCACACTATCGACAGAACAAATAATCAAAGAAGGGTTAGCAAAAATATCAATATTTTAATTTTTCCCTTTTCCTTAAACAGATATTTTAGATTGCCTAAAGGCTGGCCCCTTTACTGGAGGCTTTGGTCCTCTTCTTCCATGGGACACCTCTTTACTTTGGTATGATGGACCCAGGGTTTTATTTTTGACAATTTCAATGAGGCTCACACGTTATAGAGTCCCTTCCACTTCTCTGTTTCCAACCAGGACAGAGACCTGAAAGAGGCAATTCATACATAGTAGTTAGCACCCAACACACTCATTTGACAGATGGCTTTACTCTGCTTTCTTTACTCACAGTTATATTACCATACTGACCTCAGGGTGCTAAGAAGTGTTTCTCACAAACCATTTCTTAGGGGTTTAACTTAAGCCTGCTTTCGAAGGTCACCCTAATCTGAAGGAGGACAATAGGCAACAAACACCCCATCCCACTTTCCTGCATCAACTCCAGGATACATGCAACTTCCATTCTAGATATAGGGCTTTGCTCATTTGCTGGGTTACCTCCGATTCGAAAGAGGGTCCATTATCACTCTGCATGGAGAAGGGGAGCCTACAAACAGCATTTAGTCTACTGTGTCCAGCCCCTTTGAGAAAAGGCTCACCAGGTTTCCGCCAGGTTCCTTCAGTGGGGGTCCACTTGAAGTTCATGGGTGACCACAGCACATTGTGTAGCAGATCCAGGTGCAGACGATGGAAAGCAAAGATTCCCCAGAAAGGGCACTGCCATGCAGTAGCCAAACACGGTGATACCTTGAGTTGTTGAGCTGTCTCTGCAGCTGCCTGTCCATAGTGTCCATCACCAGCATGCCATCCTCCATCTGCTCCACCTCTTCCCCTTGACTGCTGATGCCCATCATCTTGTCGTCCTCCAGGGCTTGTGTCTGCTCCCTGCTGGTGGACACACACAGGAACTTGGTGAAGGCAGTGAATTCCTTCAGAAGGATTCTGGTAACTTCAGACGCTCCTTATGTTGGGGTAAGATAAGCCTCCACCCAGCCTGAAAAGGCATCTAATACCAAGTGAAGCTTCCAATCATCAAAAGGGTTGGGCTCCCTAAATGTTGGGCTTCTTGTACAGTGGGTCACCTTTCTGTCCTTAGACCACCCCTAGCACATAAACACTTTGTTGTACACAGGGTCCTCCCAAATGAGGTCCCCCCAAAATCCATTAAGGCATCATTCCCCTAATATGTGCTTTTATGTAGGTACCTCATAAGAGGCCAAACCAAAGCTTTGGGCAGGAGAACAAGTCCATGAGAATTCTGTCTCCATTTAGCTGTGCCATCCCAAATGGCAGAGCCCAGCCTTTAGCTGTAAAGGGGGTCTAAATCTAGCTGGGGTATCCAGGCCCCAGAGAACAGATCATCTGCAGTGGCCTCCATAGTGGCCCTGCCTGACTTCTTTCTGTCATGCTGGCCACCTGCTTGGGCTCAGCCACGGCCTGTATCAAGGCCATTATTTCAGTGGCACACTTGATATTTGTATTTCCTGCCATCAGGAAACTCCTTTTCTTTCAAATGGCACCATAAGCATGCACAATCATAAAAGCATATTTATAGTCTGTATAAATGTTTAGCTTTCTCCTCTGAATAACTGCAACTCAGCTTCCTGGGCTGAAGCCTCAGGCGGCAGTGCCACTGCTGTGATCACCACACATCCAGCCCCTTTTTGTCCATCAAGCTGCTCCCGTCAGTGAAAAAGGTCCCAATCTTGCTCTGGCATGGGCTGACCTGACAGATCCACTCTATTAGAATGTACAGGTTTCAGAACCTCTGAACAGTCATGTTGTAAAGGTTATTCTCTTTGGCTGGCAAAAAGCTGGCTGGATTTAAAATAGACACAACTCACAAGTAGCTGTTACTGCCCAGAGGTGAGGAGGCCATGCTCTCACACTGCTGTTCAGTGGCTTTGACAGGCCACTTGCATGGGACGCCTCTCAGCACCTGTGCTAAAACTCCAAGGCTCATTCCTTGTTTTTCTGTGTACAGGGCTTCATCCTCAGTCTGAAGTCTGAGATCCAGATGCCAATCCTAGGAACCCCAGGTAAGCTGATACAAATCTACAAATCTGTCTGACTGTGGGTTCCGCAAGTCCCCTGCTAAGCTTCTATCAAACAGAGCAGGAGAGCCCTTTTAAACCCATGAGGTAGCACAGTCCCAGGATCCCGCCATTTAAATGTAACCGAGTACGTTCAAGTTCCTCAGCGGCTTGCCCACGACTGCCTCAGGGCGGCCTGGCCGCTTCCCTCTGCTCCAAATCTGGCGGGTGCAGCTACAGGCCCGGAAGCCGTGGGCAGCAGCTGCTCAGCAGCAGGCCGTGCTCATCACCCGGAAGCGGAAGCGCAGGTGCCCGAGGCGCGGGCGGCTTCCCGCCCCTCCCACACTGCAATGGCGGCTGCTCCAAGGACCCAGTGTTGCTCGGCCTCAGCGTGGGTTGTGGGCTGCGTGGCCGCCGACGGGAAGCGCAGTGGGCTCCCTGCTTGCCCAAGCCTGCCTGCCTCTACCGCGTGGGCTGCGGGCTGCGCACAGAAGTGCGGGAAAGCGCCAGGGTGGGCTCCCGAGGCCCGGAGCCATGGCGGAAACCCTGGAGGGCGCGTCAGGGACGGGCGCGGCCCCCACACAGCTCTTCCCTGCTGCCTGCCCCTTACACAGCCGGGCGGTGGCGGCGATCCCCGGGCCCTTGGGTTTAGCACAGGTGCTGAGGAGGCGTCCCAGGCATACAGCTGATTGTCAATATCGGTGCCTGTCAAAGCCTCCTGACAGCCAAGGTGAGAGCTAACCCGGCTCTTTGTTCGCGAATCGTCACTTCGAAATGGTGGAGTTCAATATACGATGTACTACTTGTGATTTGTATATTGTGATGTCTATTTTTCTTCTCAGGCGCGACATCGAACTTATATTTCCAGCCAATTTAGACATGTATATAACCTTTACAACATGACTGTTCAGGAGGATGACTATGGATCCTGTAACATTCTAATAAGTGGATCTGTCAGGTCAGCCGCATGCGAGACAGCCATTGGGAAACCTTTTTCACTGACGAGAGCATTGAATGGACAAAAAGGGCGATGTATGTGATTGTTCATCAGCAACGTGGCACTGCCGCTGTTGAGGCTTCAGCCCGGAAGTACGTGCAGTTATTCCAGAGGAGAATTCTCTAAACATTTCATGACAAGACTATGAAATATCTTCTTATGATTTAGTGCTTGCTTATGGTCATTTGAAAAAAAGAGTTTCCTGATGCAGGAAATACAAATATCAAGTTGCCACTGAAATAGATGCGTTGAATACAGGCCGTGGGCTGAGCCAGCACGGTGCCAGCATGACACAGAAAGAGTCAGGCAGGGCCATATGGAGGACACTGCAGACCATCTGTTCTCTGGGCTGGTACCCCCAGCGTAGATTTAAATACCCCCCTTTTACGTTAAAGGCTGGGCTCTGCCATTTGGTGTGCACAGCTAAAGGAGACACGAATCTCATGGCTTGTTCTTCTGCAAAAGCGTTTGGTTTGGCCTCTTATGATACCCTACATAAAAAAATGATTTAGTTGGCGGAGATGAATGCCTTGTAATTGGATTTTTGGGGACTCATTTGTGGGATAGGAGCATGTGTACAAACAAGAGTTTAATAGCATAGGTGGTCTAAGAACAGAAGTAACCCACTGTAGCATTTCACAGAATGAGGTCTTAAGACATTATTATACTCTAAGAATATCATTCTTAAGATTCCCAACAAACGTCAGAATACTTTTCTGAAGTGTATTTTCTTTTCTAAATCATTATGATATTGTCGTTTACACGATTTTCAAAGCTAGTATTCTCTTAATATATAGACTCTTTATTATTAGGTTGTATTTTATGAATGCCACTTCTCTTAATTATCACTATATTTTGAAAATGATCTTTTACACTACATATATACTATCTTGTGTGCGAAGATATTTTGACACCAGACATTTTCCGCTGAAAGAGTCTATTTAAGATTTCTAGATCCTAATGAAGTTCGTTGTTATTCTTTGTGAGTTAGTATATTTTTCTTAGATCTCCCATGCTCAGAGTATTTCAAGAGGCAGTCCATTTTTGGAATGTTGGCAGATCCAACCCAGTGGTATTAGCTACAGCTGCTAAGATATCTTTGGAACATATCTGTTTATGAATTTTATGATCTCTCTTTTTTCACCTATTGAACATTTTTTCATATGTTTGTGCCCATTAATCTGTCTTCTTTGAGAAGTTTCTGTTCATGTCCTTTGCCCATTTTTTGATAGGGTTGTTGATTTTTCTGCTGCATTTACTGATTCTAAATAGTTATAGTATCAGCCTTTTATCAGATGTGTAGTTGCCAAAAATTTCTCCCCTTCTGTGGCCTACAATACAGAAACTATCACTAATGTCAGAATCTCACAGGCCAGTTATACTGGGCCAAAAATGGTCTTAGTCATCTCTAGGTTCTGCTTCTAATATAAATCAGCCAAGGTATTCCATTAACTAATGAGTATTAAAATTCAAAGACCTACAAAGTGAATTTACTAATTAGCATTATTAAAAAATGCTATAATGATCTATACATGAAGCTTCATAATTGCAGTCCTCAACTTGATTTGTGGCTGTTTTCATTTTTCTTTAACGAATATCACATTTGATTTCTATAAAGCTGAAGTGACACAATCATATACAGAAGGGAACCATTTAAGAACTTTCCCCAGATTTAATGAGGAGATTTTATGAGACCACCAATTCTTAAATTCATTTAGGTCTTCTTAGACCCAGGAAAGAGAGGGTAGGAGGATTGCCAGGATTACCTAAAGATCAAAGCAAGAGGAACAAAAACTCCATGAATACCAGGAAAAAAAAAAAAAAAAAAAAAAAAAAAAAAACACCTTCACACAAACTGGATTATAGACTCAAAATCAATACTAAAGATCCGTATGGAGGTAGTTCTCCAAAGGTACTTCAGAAAAAAGTTTAAAATTATAAATATAATTAATGGAACTCCAAGAGTTCTGACGGTGAGTCAGGGACAACACTAAAGGAGTTAGATATAAGAACACTAAGAGCAAAAAAGGTGGGAACTCTTAGGCTGCTTAGACATCTGATCGTTCTACTTTAGATGTTAAATCGATGCTATTTATCAGAGGACTGATTAAGAATGTGGTTCTATGTCTTTCATTTTTGATGGATGGCTTAATGCCAGAACGGAAATTGCGGTGCCCAATCTGGTACTTTGGTTCATAGATAGAAATGGGTAGGAGACTGACTATGATTGGTTGATGAT